CATTTACTCAGGTTTTCTACATCTTTTTATCAAATTAAAGGGCATGCCACTACATACACCAAAAAAGTACATATGAAGCTGAGACTATATAAAATATTTCAATATCTATTACAGAGTAAAGGCAAATCGAAAGAACATGTTGCTATTTTGGCAGTTGGCACCAGAGATAAAAATTTTTGTATCCCTAGTAGTTAAACTTCGGAGGATAAAGATCTAAGGCAATTAAAATAATTGAAATACTAAGAATATTATGTATGTTTGGTAGTTTAGATAGAAATGAGCACTGGGCAGGGGAAGAGGCAGGGGAAAGGAACAATCCAGAGCACAAGAAACCTGATCTGTCAATCAACCAGAGCACAGGGAACCTAAGTTGTCAATCAATCAATCAATCAGTCAATTAATCAATCAATCATGAAACCAGGATATAAAAACAGGAAAAAGGAGGGAAGGGTGCCATTTTTCCTCTCTTGCAGTGGCCCACTCCCATTTCTCAGGAATGTACTGTCTTTCACTATCTTCTTTCTCACTAAATAAAAATCTTGCTTGTATCATGCTTTTTGTCTCTCGTCAAAAATTCTCTTCTTTTTTTGGGGGGGGGTGTGACTAAGAAACGAGGTAGTTCTTATTTCCCTTTTCCTGGTAATATGTATATGATGTGAGCTGTAACCATCCAATTTTGTGTGTGTCATATGAATTCGGAATATATAGTTGATCCTTGAACAACACAAGGATTAGGGGGTGTGGACCTTCTGCACAGTAAGAGTACCGGAGTATAACTGATAGCCTCCTGGTACCCACAGTTCCTCAGTATCTGCGGATTGGCATTGGAGATTTCCACCAACCAGGGACCCTATAGTACTGCAGTATTTACTATTGAAGAATATCTGCATGTAAGTGGAACCACACAGTTCGAACCTGTGTTGTTTAAGGGTTTACTGTATACTGAACTGAGATTTCCCTCCACATCCATGTTACACCCAGTATTCGAGGTTCTCACAATGGTTAAAATTAATCAGGGCACAAGACTGAGAGCCTGAGGGCTACCTAACCATTACTAAGCCTGATGTTGTAAACCAGCATGTTTTTGTTTTACTGTGACAGTATGTAAAGATCATAAGGAGAATCTTACAAGCTTAAACATTTATTATTGAACTTTAATATTTTAGAAATTTTTCTAAGCAGGTATAAGTAATGAAAATAGTGACTGTGTATGTGTGTGTGTATGTGTGTATATACATAAATATATCTATAGTTGCTTAGGTGAAATTTAGATAATGTTTTGGGAGAGGACTTTTTAAAAATATAAACTAGACCACAAAAGAGGAAAATAGTACTAAAAACACCAAATTTAATATCAAACCATATTAAACTCTTCATTTGAAATAATACATTCAAAAAAGATAATATTTAGAAGTGAAAAATAAATGCTTAATTCATAAATTTTAAATCCTTTGGATATGAATCTGAGCCAATAAATTGAACTATCTTATATGTATTTTTCTTCTATAAATTTATCATATCAGTCAAACCTCAAGAGAGGTTAATGTTTATAAAAATATAAAATATCAAAACCAACAAAAAGAAAAATTAAGCCAACCAATTAAAATTGAAATAGTTCCTAAGGAACAATTGCAACTTGATAGAAACACATTTGTGGATGAAGTCTAAAAAAATACCAAGGAACCAATAATTCTGGTGTATCAAGGATGTAACAATGACTGTGATACATAACCTCTTCCAGGTCATAAAAACGATAAGCTGCCAAATTTACCATGGGTTGTCATAATCTCAAATAATCATTTATAATAATGAAAAAAAAGAAAACTTAAGAAACTCTTTCACTTGACAATGGGTTTGAAAAATCTTAATTGGATTCCTAGCAGATACATTCAACTATACAAATGTAAACAGAAGACATATAAGTTACTTAACCTGTCTGTGCCTCACTTTCCTCTTCTGTTATTTGTGAATTACAATAGTAACTGCCTCAAGGATTGTTGTGGGCATTAAATGAGTTAATATTTGTAGCATGCTTAGAACAATGCATGTATGCATCCTATATTGATGACACAGACATACAGTCTAGAAATAGAGTTCTGTTACACCTCATCAAGAAAAAAAACATGATTGGTACATCCAGGTTAGTTATAGATGATGCTTTCTATCAGAATGAAGTACTGATTGATATTTTTTCCTGACCCTTTGGGGTTACTAATTTGTCCAAGGCTTATGGTGAAATGGTACACCTCTGATAGATATTTACCAAATGCTTTGGAGCCAAGTTCATAGAAGCCTTTATTCTAGGCTATGATTCCCTGGACTCCCCATGTGGATGTCTGATTAGCTACTGTGTTTCCTGTCTCTGCCTAATGCTATCCAAATGGTAGGAGGAAGAATAAGAAAAGGTGACTGGGTGGTGTAGACAGGCCAAGAGGGTGAAGACACCTCCTCTCAAGTCCCTGATTCCTGGCAGATACAGAAAATGAGTCCCACCTATACCCTTTGGTTCCAGAGTTGGGTTGCAATGGCCAATGAGAAAAGTAAGATGTGGATCACTGAATAATAGAGCAGTCCTTCAGGCAGGAGGTGAGGCTGGGAGGGATGAAATTCAGCCAAAAGATAAAGTTTAGTCTTCCAAGGAACCATCAATGTTTACTGGAACTGCTTAGGACTAACATCTTTGTCAATGGAACGTATTGTGGTCACTACCTCGTCATACTGAGCCTATAGAAAAGATGCAAGATCATTTAAAATGAAAGAGGACAGCAACCTTGACAATGTATAAAGAAACAAATTCTTCTCTCCCTGTCATTCTTTTCAAACACGAAATTGAGTAGTGGAAGGAGAGAAGTGCAGAGTTCGAGAAAACAGATCATGCCTCCACTAAACACACAGAGTCTCCTATCTAACCTGCCCTAGGGGAGAAGAGGACTGTTTTAATAACTTGAAATGTCCAAAATGTTATGAAATTAGATTGGGATGTACTCGGTGGAAAGAGGAATTTTCAATAGAATACAGTTGACAGGAATTAGTGAGGAAAAAACCTTAGAGTATATACTGTCAATGATTTGAGAATTCTCACTAAACCGATTAAATATTTAATGTAATCCTTAAAACAATCTGTTATCAACAGTTAATATTAGCCCCATTTTAAAGATTGGGGAAAAAAGACCCAGAGAAGTTAAATAAGGCCACACAGGCAGTAAAGAGCTAGAATTCAAATCTAATGAGCTTTCCCCATCATGCTCTTCAACATGTTGCAAAACAAAAATTGTAAGATTTTTCTTCAGATACTATATGAGAAGGAAGGACTTAATTATAGGATTTCTGTATAGTGTTTAGGGGTCAGCTCAGACTGGAAATCATGTGACATAAATCTGTGGTATGGGATGATTTTCTTTAGCTGCAGCCAGCAGTTTGAGTATAGGAATAAAGAAGGCAGATGGATAAACATGGTTTTGCATTGTGGGCACTTAGGGAAAAGGGGCAAGGAACTGAAGGATATTTGCTACAGAATGGATGCAGTGATGGGGGATTGGGTGTAGCCTATCTGGAGAAAACATTGAAGTCAAGAGAGGGCTGACATCTTGAGAGAAGGTTGAGGGAGTCAGGGAGCAGAAGTTTCACATGAAATCACCAAGCAGATATAATGAGAGTAAGGGAGTGAACGATGGAAAGACAGGGCAGTAGGTGAGCGGGTAGCATGTTGGACTTTAAGGTTTCTGAGGTGGGGCAATGGAAGACTTCAATCTAAGAGGCAGCTTCTCTCTAATTTCCCTTCAAGAAAGACCTTGATGTTCATCCACAAGGATGTTCAGTCCACAAGCTGCTAGCACCCGGGATCTGCCTCAGCTTTTGAGTGGAGGCCTCCCTCTTCCTGGATAGCCCCAGCCAATGACTGAGCATGGCAGAGATACCTGCCAGTCTTTCCAAAGCAGAACCCTCCTCATCATCAGCCTCTGTTCTCTAGCTCTCCACTGGATTGACTGAGACCTTGTCAGGTATGCACTGTGGTCTGAGCTTGTCCTTTCAAATCCTATTTCCTGCCCCTTTTATCTTCCCTGCCCCTTGTACTGGTGTTACCCTCCAATAAACTTCTTGCACTCATTCCATTTAACATCTGCTTCCTGGAGAACCAACTGAAAGAAATCTGTGAAAGATAAATATATAAAGGAGTTGGGGTTTTGTCTATGTATCTGTTTGTTTGTTTTAAATAGTAAAATGGAGATTCTTAGAGTGTGCTGAAAATGTTTCTGAGGGCTGTAAATCAAGGATGAGTTACCAGAAAGGCAGCACAGAGCAACATGGACTGACACCAGACAACAGTATAGGTAAATAACAGCAGAGGAACAACAGATTTAAGCCAATTCAGAATGCCACTTGGGCAGACATGAAACTCATGGGGAAAAGTCCTCAATAGTCCTGACAGGGCTGGTCCCAGGAGCTGCTGCCCCAATTAGACAAGTTTGCTATTATCCCAAGTGCTTCCAGAAGCACACCACAAACTTGTGCGTATTATTGACTTCATTGAGGTCAATAGGGTTTTAATTAGTTAATTAAGAGTGATTTATTGGTTACAACTTCACAAACTCAAATAATTTTAAAACATTAAGACAGTTTTCACAGATTCGTTACTTCTAGACAGCAGAATTCAATTCAATAACTCTGTTAACTTTGGTAAGTTTTCATTCCAAAGAATTTTCCTCATAATGCTTACACAATGGAAGAATGTAAGGATCTCTGGAACTGTAAATAGAGCTAATATCACTAAAACAGTCCCAAAGGGATCTGGGCTAATTTAAAGAGTGGACACTTAAGCTAATATTTCAATGTAATTTTAAAAAGTATTATAATATACGCAGAAAACAAAACACAAGTCTAGCCATAATTTTGAGACTTATGGGGGAATTAATTTCTTATTTTTGTTACTTTTTTCTGATTATAAAAATAATACATATTTTTAAAAAGAAAGAAGATAGTATAAAAGTGTTCATCACTTACTCATTTAGTAAATATTTGTTGTCCTTAAGTAGAGAAATAAAAAGTAGGCTTGATGTGAATTCAATCTGTAAAATCTGGAATCTGTATTTTAAAAAAATAAATATAAAACATTACTTTAAAATGTGTTACAATAATTACTACATTGTAGTGATTGTAAATATATGTTAAATATGGAAGTAGAAAAAAGAAACATATCTTGTGTTATTGTTAAGCAACAATATTGTGTTGACATTTAACCATTTCACATATTATATCTCAAAATTTTAACATATCAAGTTGTTCCAAACTTGGGACACATTTTTGAAACTTTATCTGAAAAAGAATGGGGATCACCTTATATTTGGACATATCTAGACTAACTTAATTAAAATTAATTAATTAAAATTGGTCCACTTTTTTCTCTACTTTGAGCCATAGCAAGATACTTCTTAAACATTTTTAATATTTTATAATGGTGTGTTTGGGGAATCCATTTTAACATACTGCCTAAAACTGAATTCAGAACGAATAACTTCTTACAGACTTTTCTTACAACCTAATAAGACTTAAATGTTTTTTAAAAAACCTAGAATAATCAATTTGAACTTTCATTATAGTGATTGAGAATTTTTTTTAATGTTCTGTGCACCTTGAATCACCAACTGCTGAACTGCAAAACTGTAAAATAAAAGCACAGAAAAGCCACCTGAACATCAAATATATTCATTATCATAAGTGCTCACAGAGAATCTGAGAAGAATTAACAATGAACAAAGTATCTAAAATTAAATTCACACTCATATATACATTATGGATGATGACAAATTACAAAAGATATATCTATGATATACAGGAATTTAAATGACATTTTTCTTACTGGTATAGTATATAAATCTTTATGTTAGGTAACTTATTTCCATTACATAATTTCCTAATGAAGTTCTGGAGTAAACTTTTAGCCTTAGTAAAACTGGGCAAGGTATTTATACTGTGAAAATCACCAAAGGATAGATATTTTCAACTGTGATCAAAAGATAGAAATAGCAGTTAGCATTTATTTTCATAATCTTAAAAAAGTATATGATTTCAGCAGGAGAGACCTCTAGTGACACTAAGAAGGCAGGGGGATGGACTGGGGGCACCTGACCAGTGCTAGGAGAGAAGAGAGGGCAGGGCAGTATCCAGAGGATCCTGCGCAGCAGTTGCCTGAAGGCTGCTGCCTTCTTTGCTCACCCTTGAGCGTCTGTCTGGTTCTGGCCCAGGCCCAAGAGCTAAGTTTCAGATCATGGCAGGCTTAGGAGAGCAGCGCAGACTGGAACATCTAATCCCACCCTGGCTTACCCTGAATTCACCCAGCTCCTGAGCCTGCTGCCTGAAGCTGTTTCTAGAAAATCGGAGCGTAGTAGAGCAATGCCACTCTTGCTCTGGTTTTGAGTTTGGGTTTTGCCACATCAGTTTTTTTTTTTTTTAAGAATTTTCATCTTCCTCCATACTATGTCTTAAAACAGATTGCTTAAAATTTCTTAGAGGAAATGAGCTGCAATTAGCAGATGAGTGTCTGTCTCTGTGTTTCCAGGGCTGAGGTAGCTATCAGCCTATAAGTGCCTACCTGCTATATGGGGATCCAGTACCAGGCACTGTAGTTTTTCTGTTGCCCTTTCATCATCCAGGGGTTTATGATGACTTTCCTTAAAATGTTTTGATACGTGTGGGCATTTGCCTGCTAAAAGAGGAAAGCTTTGTAAGCTGCGAGGAGCCTTTCTGCTGAGGTGGCTGCCAGCCTCCTGGAGAAGGTCCGCTAAAGGAGAACTGCAGTGAGAGCCACCAGGAAGCTCGCATGCCTTGGTCCCTTTTCAGACTCTGGCAAAAGGCCAGACCCAGAGTGTTGCTCCAGTGAGTAGCTGGGCAAATTGGCAGATTGCCAGGTGAGGGGCAGACTCTCATTTATAAAGTGATGGTTTTTATAGACTCCCAGTAACCCATACTGCCACTTACCTGAACCCTGTGGTTTCTGGAAGAAAAAAAGAACCAAATTATTCTCCCATTGGAATAACACCAAAACAAACACTGGATATAGGCTGGCGGGATCTATATTGGTCTTTTCAAAATACTTCAGTATTTATTTCAGTAAATAGCCTTTGCATGATCGTGTGCCTGTCACTCACACTGTTCCTGAGTCTTGAGATGCTCTTGCTTCTCTTGTTGCCATTAAAATTCCCAGTTCTATTGTGCAGGGGTTGCTCTGTCCTGTTGTCTGTAACCGCCGCATTAACTCCCACCCTTCTTGGGTTTTCTGAATCTGGTTTTCTTAAATATGATAAGGAGAATGTCACTTAATGTGAGATATGTCAGAATGTTCAAAGAAAAAAAAGAGTAAAATATGAGAACTGAGAAAAATATGATTACCATAAAATGTCATCTTAAAAAAAAGTTCTTGTAGTTTAAGATTTGTATAAACAGAGCTGACCTTTATTGATGTGTCCTATTGATGCCTGCAAAAGGAGATTATAATCTATATCCAGGGCACTTTTTTCTTGTGCCCTGAGAAAAACAATAAAAAAATTAAGTTTCCTTAAATACAGTTTATAAATACATTTTAATAAGACATAATTTTTCTTTTAAAATTAAATTTTAATTTAATTAAAATTTAATTAAATTAAAAGAAATTTTAAAATTTCCAGCTAACTATTTAATACTCAGGATAATTATAGGGTTATTTTAGTTAGAATCTATAGGATTCATGTGTTCATGGACTGAAATTTGGCCTCAGAAATTGCTTAAGATCTTTATCTTATTTTTAAAAATCAGAAAAAAGTAATACCAAGCCTAGAGGTCTTAAATCTCTAACAATAAATATAATGTAATTATATTATATTGTTGGTAACATTTTTTGTTGCTCTTAAAAGTATATCTAGTTTTATAAAAGCAATAAATACTTCTTACAAAATATTCAGAAATATAGAAAAAGAAAACAATTATAAATAAAGAAACAGGGGTCTATCTATAATGATTGTGTTAAAGAACAGTAGTGCTAAAACTACCTCATAGGCCAGCGATATTGTATCATGAAACGGCTTGTTAACTTTCAGAGGTGATGGGGCTGCCACTTCAAAGAGCATGCCGTGCGTTGCCAGCACTGGAGACACATGTTCAGACGCAGCTCCACTGCCTGCTGTCTGTGGACCTTCCGGGCTCAGTTTCCTCACTCATCAATTGGGATCACTGCAGGATTATCTCATAAAGCTGTCATGAGTACACACGATCATGTTTGATCAAGTGTTTCACAAGTTGTAGATAAGCTCATCTTTTTTAAGAAGGATGAGGAGCAAGCAGTCCAAAGAGGAGCTAGAGCAATAATAAAAGGCATTATTGAGTGCTAAGCGCTGTGCCAAGAATTTTGCCTGAACTGTCGCATGTAATCTTCATAACCACATAAAGAATAGTAGGAATGATTGTTATCTCCATTTTCTAGATGAGGAAACTGAGGCACAGAGTGGTCCAAGGAGACATTGGTAGCAAGAGGCAGAGCAGGAATTCAAAGCCAGTTCTGGCTGCCTCTAGAACCTGAGCACTTTCATATTACCTACATCACAGGAAAAAGTTTCACTTCATTAGTAATCAAAGGTTTAACAAATAAAAGGTATGGAAATGCAAGAGAATGATAAACATCTAGTTCCAGCTGTCTCTGTAGAGAGGGCATAGGGAGTGGAATTGGCAAGGGGGTCCACAAAGACTTCAACCATTTACATAATATTTTATTTTTATAAAACTAGTAAAAATATGGAAATGTATTAAGAGTTGATAAACCAGGACTATGGATTAATATTTTTCTCCATATTTTTCTGTATGCTTTAAATAATTTACAGCAAAAAATTAAAAGCAGTGAGCTAATGTCATCCTATTTTGTTTATATGAAGACTAAACAATTAAGAAAATAATTCTGATGAAAGTCTGGAGAAACTGATATTCTCGTATGTTTTTGGTGATATAAATTGGTCCAACTCTTTTGGAAACCAATTTGGAAACCTTAAAAATAATCATACTCTTTAGTTCAGTAATTTCCCTTTGGGAATACTAGCCTAAGAAAAAAATATCAAAATATGGATGGAGAAGGGTATAGCTCAGTGGTAGAGTAAGTGCAAAATGTCCTGGGTTCAATCCCCAGTACCTCTAATAAATAAATAAATAAATAAATAAATAAATAAACAAACAAACAAACAAACAAACAAACCTAATGACCCCCCCAAAAAATTTAAAAGTAAAAAAAAAAATGCAAGCATGCACACACATAAATACACTCACTGAAAAACTATATGCATAAAGAAGTCAACTACAGTATCATTTAAAATAGTGGAATATAATGAATAATTTAAAATTTTAACATAGTATTATGCCAGCTTTAGAATAATATTTATGAAGGCTATATACCAATTTGCATAATGGTTGTGATGTAATGTTAGTTGAAAAAGTCAAAATATGTAATTGCATAGCCACTAGAATTAAATCAGTGAAAAAATAAGCATACGGAAAAAGTTAAGGAAGGAACACGCTACAAGGATAAGTACAGAGTTAGTGTAAGATGCTGAGATCATGAATATTTTTCTTTCCTCTCGCTTCCAAATTTTTGATAATATTGATCTCTGACATGTTGTTTTTGTAACATAAAATTGTTACATAGTACAAACCTAGCTTCGGAAATAATGAGATCTATTTGAAAATAAACTAAAATTCAAGGGAGAGGATGAGGAGTTCTCAGGAAAGTTGTAGACAATCTCCAGTCAATGCAGGCATTCAGAGGAAGTGGAGATCATCAGGCTGGGGGCCTCTGGAATACTGAGGGAGGGGATGTCAGTGGGCTTCAGTAACTGGTAGGGCAGGGAAATAGAAAAAGGCCTAAGGGAAGGGGGCGTGCAAACTTCAAAAGTAGAAAGATACGAGATAATCGCAGGGAACAGCACTTCATGTCATGGAATATTTTCTTTTCAGTTTTTATCTGCTGATTTTTTCAGAAAATGTGGTGACTTTAAAGATGTCACGGTCGAATTAATTCCACAAAACAACTGGTTGTAGAATCATAGCAACATAATTATGAGTTGGGCTTCTGGCTCCAAATCCTTTGTCTAAAAATAATCGCAATGACTACATCTCGGGAAAACAAAGCCATTACCTATTCTTGTGCTACAACTATCTTGGTAGTCACTTACTGGAAAATGGATCATGGATAAAATAACTCCGTGTTTTTAGAACCTTGCCTGTCACTCTTACCTTAAATGAGTTGATAAATGAAATCATTTTCAAACTCTCGGTCCATAAGCATTCTCTTACAAGAATAGGACTTAGGAAAAATCTTTTATAATCACACAAGCCTGCGTGTGCTCCCCGAGGGGCACAGTCCTGGCACTCCTGAAACCCAGTGCTGTTCCTTTGGGGAGTGTATTTTCTTGTGCAGAAAGACAGAGGCCAGGGATAAAGATGTGGGGAACAGGGGAGGAATGTTAGGTAAGTCTCCAACATAGTGAGATGAATGAACCTGTATGCTCTACTGCCTCCAACATCTACCAGCTGCTCTTTGTCCAGCTTCTTTGGGTTAAATATTCATTGAATAATATATGAATTAACAGGATGAATGGATGATACTTATCACTTACAGAATGATTACTCTGTGCTGGGAGTTTACATCCATTAACATTAATTGTCATAAGAATCCTGCTGAGTGTGTAGTGCAAATGTCAGGGTACTTAGGTTCTTCAACAACTCTAGTTTTTGTTTTTTGTTTTGACTCTAGTTTAGGGGGCGGTTGTTTTTGTTTTTGTTTTATCCTTTAAGATCGGTGTAAAATAAGAGTGTTTGATAGTGATCTCAAACACTGGGGAGAAATTTGCTGGTCCTGCCCACGTCTCCAGGTTTCTCTTGCTCATCTCACATTCTATTTTCCTACCTGAGCTAAATTCTTCATCCCTCCTTTACATCCCTCTTGTGTTTGCTTTCCTTTCTGCTGTACTGTCTTACTCCATACCATAAACACATCACCTCAATTTCTTCACTTCCCAAATTGTCACCCACATATGACTGTTTATGAAATAAACATGGATTTATATTCTGGTGAAAAGGTAAGACATGGCCCACTGTGGTGCCACATAATAAACAACTCAACATTGGATATTAAGACTGTTGTCCCAAATAGAGCCCTAGGATTTTTGCTGTTTTACTGGACTTTTCTCCTTCCTGGGGTTGGTGCTTCCATCTCAAGCTCTGGGATGCTCAAAATTCTTATTTTATCAGGCAAAGCAATTTAGTTCTTTGTCTGGGGCTTCCTCCTTCATATCCAAAGCAGGCTAATCCAGGTGTTTTCCTAAACTTGGAGTCTTGGGAATCTGAAGGCTGTAGTTTTAAATAGCATTTCCCCGCCACCACTATGTTTTTATCCACATTTTACACAAGATGAAACAGGTTTAGTGAAATTAAATGATTACCTAAGAAAAGGGCCAGAGTATGAATTAACAGCCTGGCTTGTCTAACTCAAAACTCATGCTCCTTCCACTAAACCAGGATGAAGGCATGAAAGTCAGTACTTATTGAATGTTTACAACATGCCTGGCTCTGTTCCAAGAGCTTTAGGGGCATCAACTCATTAAATCCTCACATTAGCTAATATCCATTTCATAAACACAGAGATAGTAAGTAACTTGCCCAAGGTCATATAGCAAACAAATGGAAAGGCCA